CATGGATTTCGACGAGTTGTTCCAACGCAAACAATCCAACCTTCACCCACGGGCATTTAGGCAGTTTATATCACATAAGCATATAGCCACATGGTAAGCATGCTGTCATGTTTAACATTCACACTCATGCGAGATGCTAAAGCATAAAACACTTACAGTGTACTCCAAGCCAAAACAATGAACATGTCAGTAATCAAATGTATGATCCAAGTCCATGTTAAATGGCTAATGCATCGCATACAAAATGCAATCTAGAATAGGCTCGGCTAATCTAAGAGTGGCATGTGGAATGCAACAAGTAACACGTATTCAAGTTAGATTTGAAATACTATGTAGTTATTATGATGTGCCGAGCCCGGTGCATGCAATACAAATGAATGGATGCACGCATGCATAGCATAAGGATGCTAAATTAAACATGCCCTAATACTAACCATCAAAGCAGGTAAGTAAAAAGGGAGAAAGAAGTGGGGGTTGGAAGACATGCACACACGCACCCACACTTATTACAAATTCACCCTCGCTCGGAGAGACCAAAAGAATAATACACTTTAATTAACCTACAAGCTAATTAAATAATTTACAGGCCATCTAATTAATTAACAAATCAATTAGGCTAAGGAAAACATTAAAAGGCCTCGGGAAGAGGGATGCACACGTGCTCGGATTGGCTTCGCCCGGAAATCCAATGCCATGCGCAAGTTGCCTCTGTTTTCCCTACTCTGCTCCTCTGAAAATGGCACAATTCCCAAGGTACACCTCATGAACACTGGGGAATGACATCGGCCATGAGGAATGGCCACTGGCCAAAGGGAAGTGGTCATCGACCATCTATGGAGCTATTGGCCATCCATAATTGGTCGATCGGCACTTAATCTAGTCGACCGGCCAAAGCTTCCTGCAGAACCTGTTTTGATAGCAGCAGAGGGCAAAACAAGGCATGGCAATGCATTTCAAGCACATGTGTGCACTAATACACCCCTTATCATGTTTATGACTCAAAGGGGGATGGTACTCGATTCTCGGACCACCAATCGCGCATTTCAATGCGTGATGGCCCAAGAAACCAAGGGTGCATTTTGATTTCAAATGACATGCAAACCAAATAAACACATAAAGCCCAACCTCTATCATACTCAATTCAAGAGGCAAAGCATGCATGCTCAATGCAATGCAACCTAAGCATGCTAGCTAAATGTGCAATAAGAGCATGCAAGCAAACAATGTATGCTAGGTACACAACCTATGCAAATAAGCATGCGAGGCATGGACCACTATGCTAATGACCAATCATGCAAGATGTAATCTAAACAAGCAAGCATGTAAGGCATGCAGCATGTTAAGCAACTTAATCAAAGGAGATTGCATGCCAAATGCAACATGATTCAAGCATGCAACACATGCGATAATCCAAGTATGCAACAACACACAAGGTGAGCATGCAACAACATGCAAACAATGGACTTATACCAATTTGGACAGCTCTCAAACAAACCCAAAACAATGGCCAAATGCTAAGGAAATGAGGTGCAAATATACATACAAACATGCATGCAAATGGACCAACACTTAAGCATCAAAGAAGCAGCCTTTAAGCACACTTAAAAGGGGATAATCATGGACAAATGGCATGCATAATAAACTCTGAAATCATGTTATAAGAGGTGCCAAACCAAGTAAACAAGACAAGCCAAGCATGCAACAATGCCCAAAACTCAAGACAAGCCAAGGGGCTTAAACCAAAGCTATATGAAGCAAGCCCCAAAAGGCCATGAGGGCCTAAAATAGGTCCAATGCAGGTCTAAACAAGACCAAAGACGCATCTAGATAGCATCTAAATGGCCTAAACATGGAAGCATGCACAAAGGTCCAAACATGGAGCATAAGACACAAGCCTTTCAAAGCATTAAAAGGGCATCGAATGCAAGTATACAAGCATACCATGAGGACTAAAATGACATGGTAAGTGGTTCCAAACAACTGAAACAAAGCAAGTAAAGCATGTTAGAGGGGTCAACACTCAAGGCTCAAAAGGGGGATTACATGATAGCTATACAAAGCAAAGCATGGATGACTTGAGCAACCAAAAACAGACCTTAGGCATACTAAAACATGTATAAAAGCTTCACAAAGCTAAGCCAAAACAAGTAAGCATAGTGGTCTAAATGCTAGGCACATGTTAAGGTAATTCATGGCATTACAAGACAAGTATGCAAGGCAAGCATGGTGTGTCTAAACCAATTAAAAACAGTGCTAAATCATGGAAAAATAAGCACAAATAACACTTAAGACATGGCCAACATGCACTTAAATAAGATGCTCACACATGAGGCTAAAATGGCAATTTTTGAAGGCAACAAGGAGAGGGGATGACCCTCTCCTTCTTAGGACCTTAAAGCACCATCCCCACCATTGAAATCCCTCAAGATTTCAGTGGTGAGAAGACCCAAACAAGATGGTCCCGGAGCTCACCAAAATAGCACAAAATGGGGGCCAAACAAGGCCTAAGAGGGGTCAAACAATCCCAAAGCTCAAAGCAACCTTAAACAACTATTTTAAGCAAGTAAAAACAAGACTTTTATATTTTATACACTAAGCTCAAAAATAGATGCAAGGTAGGCAAAAATACTATGCAAAAATGGGATATTTAAAGGTAAAGTTCATACCCTTGTAGACCCCTTCAAGAACAGCACTCCAGCTACTTTCCTTAGCTCAAAACCAGCTCAAAACTTCAAAAACAACCTAATGGCTCCTCAGCAACCAATTATTTATTATGGCCGAGTTCATATTTTCCTTTTAGCTGGTACTTAGGCCAATTAAGCACCTTGTAATCCTTGATGTCCATCACTATGTAATGTTTGCAAGTCAAATATGTTTTCCCTTGTTCAAGTTAAAGAAATGTTCAAGTTATGTTTCAATGTTATATTTATAAAGCTCATTGATATTCATTCAATTACCGCCTTACTTTATTACTATTCACTGGGCAATGGTTCACCCATTTCCCTTATATATATGTAGGTGATGAAGAATTCAAGTGTAAAGAGAAGTTGGTTAGAAGTCGGTCTTGTATGCTTGTACTAGTTTTGTAAAGCCTTCTCATATATGTTGTATTTTACTTCTGTCATGTGGTTCATGTAATATTGCAACGATAACAATCCAAAAAGAATGTATGCTTTCATTTCATATAGTTGTGCACTATTCTGAATAACTGTTTCAAATGGATTCAATATAAGCAAGCAATGGTTTCCACACTTAATAATGGAAAATTTTACCCCAATTATTCTAAGAGTCCATGGATGATGAGAAAATAGAGAGAAAGTAATGGAAAATAAAAGAAAATGAAAGCACACAAGAGAGTTATGGAAATAAAACATAGGGTAGGACTAGAACCCTTTGTACAAGTCCAAAAAACTAATCTAAAGTACTAAAGAAAATTAGAAAATAAAGTGTTTGGGAGGTGAGAAATTGAGAGAGAAAGTGTAAGAAAATTATAATTAAAACAATCCAATAATTCCTATGGAGGGGTGGCTAATCCCCTTTTCTACCCACAAGGCCCAATCACATGATTACTACAAGAATTCAAAATTATAGAGTACTTGGTAGGAGAAAAAAGAAAGTAAAATAAAAAGGAAAGTGATGAGAAAGTTGAAAAACTTACTTCAAGTAATGAAGAAAAACTTCTTGATTAGCAAATTCCAGTCTAGACACCCTCGAGTTTTTGAATTCTTCCTTGAATCTCCAACAAGAAAAGCTTTAATCCAAGCTTTAATGGTGTATGTATATGTGTATGTATATAGAGAGAGAATTTGGAAGACCCAAAAGCTTTAAGTTCAAAATGGGTCGCTCTATGCTTTGATCAGTTAGGCATAAAAGTTGTACTAATCCAGTTTTGTACAACTAGGGCATATTTTAAGGGAAAACAAGGGGTTTGTTTTGGTTTAGTTTTAAAATTATAATTTAAGTATAGAGTTGTGTTTTGAGTTTTAAGTTTTTGAATCAAGATTTGAAAAGAGAAAATTTATTTGGTTATGAGTTTTGAAAATAATTTTGTATGAGTTGTCATTTTATTTATTTATTTTTGATTGATTGATGTATAGAATGTAAGAAAATGTGAGAGGGGAGATGAGAGATGAGAGATGAGAGATAAGAGAGAAAAAGTAATTGTTGATTAATAACAATAAATAAATAAATAAATAAATAAAAAGAGAAGAAAAAAGTTTTGAGAGTAATTTTGAGTTATACTTTATAAATATGTTTAGTTAACATGTTGCATCCAAATCATGATTTAAAAACAGAGTTGACTTTTGAAAAGTAAACCAAACGCTGTTAAGGTTTTTCTAAAGGATTCTCCTCCCGTCCATTCATTCTTACTTTGCCTTCGCTCGGTCACCGAAAATCACAATATTTTTCTTTTTTTTTATTAAAAAGTGTGCTTTAAACATCATGGAAATATTGGATTTATACACAAGTAAAAATATTTTGAAGAATAACTTTGACCGTCTAAAAACAATTGGCCAAAATGGGTGTTAGGTTGTGCTAGAGCTTTAGGATTGGGCTGTATGTTAGAGAAATCAAACGACATGTCAGGATTTTTATCATTGGATGCCAAAAGTAAAACACTTAAATCTTATGATCGTTAAAATAGAATATTTACATCAATCAATTCGTATGGGCAAAATATATATATATTTTTTAAGAAGAATGATACCTAACTCTAATTTTGATGGTTTAATTGAATTTTAATAATGTGACAAAAAAAAAAAAAACAAAATATTGTATCAATGGGTGGATCTCAATCCTACAGTTCCTTCGGAATATATCAGAACTCCCAAACATTTTTAATCTTTTAAATACAAAAATATGATTGGGTGAGACGGACCGTCGGACTGAAGCACCACTAAGTGTAACCCTACTTCAACGTGGCAAGATCTGCACCCTACATGAACAATAAGACTTCGAGTTGATGATCCTCCTCATCGGATGGCGGGAAATACGGTATATATAGCAGCGATATGGCGGGAACATAATCGCCCAATAAATTTATCAAATTTAACAAAACTGATACAAATCCAGAGAGCCCACTCGCCGTCTATCCATCTCTGTCTATACACACACACACGCATATATATTACTCTGAGTGAGTTTCTTTTGGTTTTCACGTTTCTGGTAAGATGGGGAAGAGAAAGAAAACTAGGGTTTCGGAAGAGAATCGAGAGCAAGAACATGAGGAAGATCTCAACCAATCATCTTCTTCAACTTCGAAGAGCTTGTATGAGGTATTCCGCCATTGCTTCTATTTCTAAGATGCCTTACATGCTAGTTTCACTGCTTATGTTAATTAGGTTTTCTATGTGATTGCTTCACATATCAGCGTCCTTCTCATCAATTCGTCTCTTGATTATTTATTTAATTATTTATTTTCCTTTCAAAATTGTGATTGCGGTCTGATCAGTTTGATTAATTTCAAAGCTTTGGTACCCAGTTTCTGCTTGTGAATCCAAAATCCAATTTGGGGTTTTATTTTGTGTTTGATAATGTCAGAATTTTTCTGGTGATTTAGGTTAATACACAAGCAAAACGTTCTTATTGTTTTTGTGTATGTATAAGTGGATTTTACTCTTGCAGCAACATATCGAGGGTGTTTGGCATAAGTTTTTTTTTTTTTTTTTTTTTTTTTTTGACTTTTTTGCGCTAAAATCTACAAAATAACAAAATAAGCTACAATAGCCAATAAGATAAAATGTCATATCAACCCTATATTAAAAAATAAAAATGATTATTTGCTATGGTGACTATGGTACATTAAAAAATAAAAATGTAAAAATGTCATATTAAATCTTATCTTAAGTGGTCTACTATGTATTTTTTAAATTAATCAGAACATGATTATTTGCTGTATGGTGTTTGTTCCTTCTGTATTTTGTTTTATCAAACTGCGTCCTGGTTTTTCCAATTTGAAATATAGCCTGAAAATACCAGAAAGTAACCAAATGCCTTGCAGGTTCTAGGTGTGCAAAAGACAGCATCTCAACAAGAAATAAAGAAAGCATATTATAAGTTGGCATTACGACTACATCCTGATAAGAATCCCGGGGATGAGGTGAAAATTGATTTTTCATGGTGCTGGCTTCCATTGTCCATTTCACCTAATATTTTCTGTCTTTCTCACCCTTCATTGTTATATTTGTAGGAGGCAAAAGAGAAGTTTCAGCAATTGCAAAAGGTGATATCAATTCTTGGTGATGAGGAGAAAAGGGCAGTCTACGATCAGACTGGTTGTGTTGACGATGCGGTGAGTAATTATCATATCCTTCTGTGTTGCAGCTCTTTTTTAAATTAAGTACAAATAGGGCAAGTTTAGACACTCCAGGGACCTATTTGATTTTTGTAGCATTTGCTGGCACCAATCCATTTTTAATCTTACACATTAAAGGATAAAATTTTATTCATTGCAGAAAGTTTAAATTAAATCAGAAATTAGAACGAAAATTGTAACGTTTGAATTCCTAAAAATTTTCTCTATAGGGAAAGTCTCATTTTTTATGATGAGGACAAAGTATACTCATTTCAAATGCACTGTAAACACTGGGATGGTAGTTTTAAAAGGCTTTGCTGAAGCTTGCCTCGAGGATAATGTAAAAGGCATCAAGGCTTTGAATTTTAGGCAATACTCTCCAAAGGCTTGCACATCACATTTTGAGACATGCATCTTAGGTGCACTTTGTGCGCCTTTTGTGCATAAGCATATGAGTACGAATATGTAGATGCTTCCTCGGTCTTTTGTAAAAATTAGTCTAGTAGATTGTTTAAACATAAAAAACAAAAATAAAAAGAATGTCTTTTTGCAGCTATATTCTATAGGGAAAACAAAATTAAGTAAATGATCAATCAAGAAAAAATATAGTTAATGGTCTCAATCACTAAAGTTAAGAAAATCAATTAAACTTTCGGTGAAGGAAAACTTCCTCGTATGTAATAAAATATTCAATGCATGAAGGAGAAAAATATTTACACCTTTATTTTTAATTTTGTTTTTATGTTTTTACTATTTTAAAATATGTAATATATTCACTAAATATTAAAATTTGAAATTTCTCCAATGGCAGGACCTTGAAGGAGAGGTGATTAACAATCTGAAGGAGTTTTTCCGAACTATGTACAAAAAGGTTGCGTTAATTTTGTTTGATCATATACTTTTCAGTTTGTGTTGTAATATGCGGGTGTTGTACTATTCTTTATCATTCTATATTAGACGAGATAATCATTGGTTACAGATTACTGAGGCTGATATTGAGGAGTTCGAAGCAAACTATAGAGGATCTGATTCAGAGAAGAATGATTTGATTGACTTGTACAATAAGTGCAAGGGTAACATGAACAGGTACATCCGTACAACAGTAATGCATTTCCCTCCAATAGGCTTTCCATTTTGCTTGCTAAAGTGATTTTCCTTCACAGGCTCTTCTGTTCGATGCTCTGCTCAGATCCTAAGCTGGATTCACATCGATTCAAGGATATTCTTGATGAGGCAATAGCTTCAGGTGAGGGTTTGTATTAGCTTTGGTCCAATGAATTTGGTTCTTCAAATATGAATTGGGGAAAATCTTGAGCCTGAGGGCTCAAACTTGAAAATGGAAGATCAGGACCCAGTTAATTGCTCCCTTCTTTTTGAGATCCAATGTGAAATATTGCACGACTGCACATTTTTTGTGCCAATAAAGCATCTCATACCTAGCATAGAAAATGTTAGCTTTTTTGTTGAGTTGGGGGGTGCATCTCCAACCATGATGCCAAATCTTAGCTGGCAACTCTGTAAAAATGCCAAATCTTAGCTGGCAACTCAGTGTAAAAATTTGGGATCCCTACAGGCTCTAACCAAAATGCAATTTGTCTAAGTGACATTTTGCATTGCCCTCCTCATGTCAAATTTGACATATGTGGGGAGGGATGCCATTTATTTTTTGGCTTTGTTTATTATGTGTGACCCATTAGTAAGAGGGTCTTGTTTTGTTTTGTCTAAAAAATTTGAAGTAAATATAATAAAATATTAAATTTGGTATATTTGGTGGAGTGTTTATTTTTAGAGATTTCAAATTTGAAAATGGTAAATTGTCACATAAGCCTTTAAAAAAAGTTGACAACTTAATATTTCAAGCTTTGATTGCAGATGCTCTGAAAAAGCAAATAAGCTGAAAAGTTTTACCACGTACTGTTAAAATTTTCAAGTACAATTGCTTGAACATGGAATTTTAAATTTTTTACCTATATATGCTGCAAATAAGTTTTGCCAAATGGGCAAATTTCACCTTGTTACATTAGTACAAAATCACCCTTTGCAAGTTAGGCCCATCCATCAATTGGCCTTTTTTTGCTTTTCAGTTTTATTTCTTGATTGTTGCCTTGTCAGTTGAAAGGCATTACAGATTTCCTGCATGCTGATAACATCTAAGAGATTTGATAATGTTTATATTATCTTGGAAAACGCTATACAGACTAACAAATCTTGCAATCTTTTCTTACTAATTGATGTGTCATGCAATAAAGGAACTTTGGCATCTGAAAGATGACTTGCTTAATGTGATAGGTGCCATATCAATAAGAAAAGTTTGTCGGATTTGTTAGTTTGTATAGTGTTCCTCTTTTTTCTTTTGTACTCCAATGTTTTACTGTGACTCTGAATACTCTCTTGCTCTCTTGTAGGAGATCTGAAGTCAACCAAGGCATATCAGAAATGGGTGAAGCAAGTAGCTAAAACAAAACCTCCTACTAGTCCTTTAAGACACAGAGAAAAGTAAGTCATTTGTTTTGGGTGTTGATGATGTGCTACTTCACAAGAACATTTTACCCTTCCCTGCTAGACTGAACCACAAATTACTACCTTACCATACAGGTCAAAGAATAAAGAGTCTGAAGATTTATATGCAATTATTTCTGAGCGTCGAAATGAGAGAAAACAGCAATTCGATTCCTTCTTCTCATCTATGGTGAAAAAACATGGTGGAGGTGGTGCATGTTCAGAACCCACCGAGGAAGAGTTTGAAGCTGCACAAAAGAAGCTTGAAAGTAGGAAGGTGTCCAAGAAAGCCAGGCGGAAGTAACTACATTTAGTAAAAGTATTCTGATCTCTGTTTTGTTTTCCTGTAAAAACTTGACTTATCTGAAAATTATGTCTAATGTCTTTGATAATATGTATGCAACTGCACCTTCTGAGTTATTTGACAGTTTGTATGGAAGAATTTTGGAGCCATAGGAGTGTCCTGTGGTTTGTGCTGAAAACAGATGCATATGGGAGAAGATAGAGCTAGCACTTGGTGTTACTTTCATGAATCTTTTGTCATTTCTTGTATGGAAATCAGTCTATGCACAAATGGAGTTAAGGTATTTTGTTTTGGGTCTAATTTACTTGCTACTCTTTGAAAAGATTCTGTAGCTGTTACTCTTAACCAGTCTACCAGCATGGATGAGAGTTTCTGTTGAGCTGCATTACTTGTGCTTTTCAGATTTCATTTCATGCTTTACTTGAAGCTCTCTCTACACTTGCTTTCAAGTGTTAATAACCAACGTTATTTGTGTCATAATCATGATCATTTTACTTTATAACTGATACGGCTTTATGATGTAGGGAGTGTATGGACTTTCATAATCATGATCTTTTACTTCATAACTTGCACCATTTTATGATGTAGGGACTGTATGGGCTTCGATACTAATTGACGTAGCGAAAATGTGTAATAGAAAAAAGTGAGCGTAACGATCTGGAGTCTGTTGATTCGAAATTGAATGTTTGAAATAAAATCATTCTTTAAGAGTATTTTTATTAGAAGAGGCATTTAGAGCAATTTAGACATTTTACTTAACTTTTCATAGAGTAGAGCTTCAACAATATAGATATTAAGGTAGAGATTGTGTCTCATCCTCTCTTATAATAACTCCAATTGGCTCTTCAAATGAGGTTTGTTAGAGCATCCACGCCAGTCTATTCAAATTTTTAGTTAAATTATAACTTAAAAAGTCATTTTTTTATTTTAGCTAGTCACTCCACTGCATCAAATTGTATATTCTCACTCAATCTTATTAAAATATTTGTTATTCTTTTTATTTATTTATTTATTAAATTGATGAGCGTGCTAGTCAAATAATTCTTATGTTCCTTTATAAAAGTAAAAGTGGAGGAAATGTAAAAAAAAAAAAAATTATTGTTGACCGGTTGACCGGTCAGACTTTCAGGCAGACATTCAGTGGTAACACACAAGTAGCGATGAACAGTATCTCGCTTGTTGTAGCAAGATATTGTATCAATCAAAAATTTTGATGTACTGTAAGCGAGATTGAAGGACGTCGTTTTTTGAAGTCTATATCACTAGTTTAGCTAAGAAACAATTTTACCAATGTTGATGCTGACGCTCTAATGAAGCACTATCTCTTCTTTTCCTCCAACGTAACTTGATGTGGTTGCTGTAAAATATTATTAATCATAAATTATTTTGGATAATCAGGTAGAGAAATAGTAGTTTGTAGTACTTATTAGGTAATTGATTTGTTAAAATCATGATTATACTTTGTCTCTTTTAGCTACCGAAAATAACTAATGAGGTTAGAATTGCCCTTAAACAAAATAACTAGTTCTTTTTACTTTTTGTATTTCTAAGAGCATCTTTAATCTATTAGGAATGTTTACTGTAACTTATTTTTTTGAACTCTAATGTACTAGGTATATTATTAGGTATTTTGTTTCAATTCACATTCACTAGTTAAACGTAGTTAGCCTTCAAATGTGAGGCAAAATCTATTTCACTCTTATGATTTTTTTCCTCTATTTTTGTTGTTGATGTGACATTTTATAAAGTGAATAGTATTTGAATGAAAACATAAAAACGTGAACAAGTAAAATAAAATTTGAAAAATGCCTCAGACCCCCAGTGGGGGTCACTGGGGGTCGTGTGTGTAAGAAGGTGATTGGCCTAAAAAAAAAAACTTTTTTTTTTATTTTTTATTTATTTTTTTTGTTTCAGCGAATAAGACGGCGCCACGTCACTGAGGGTCGACCCCCACTGGGGGTTTGAAGCACGACCCTTAAAATATATACATTATAATAACTTTTAGATAAGTAAAATGCCTAATATTATTGGAGATACTGTTGTTTTAATTTACTAGGCATTTTGCTTCTTGTTAATTTGTATGGCTACGTTTGGTCAACCATTAAAGGCAAGATAAATTTGGTTAACCAATCTAAAAACGACACATCATCAGGTTACATTAAGTTAGTTTGAATGAATAGTCAAAATAAAGATGAGTGTTGGAGAGTGTACATCAAAAAGTGGTTCAAAATGAAAGTGTTCTCTTTTGTGTATTTTGCCTAGGTAAAATTACTTGTAGTGTGGGAGTTGTTTTTAACTAGTTATATTTAGAGTGTCTTGGACGTTAGGCAAATCAATTTCAAGAATAGAGTGTTATTGGTGTATACATTAGGCAAAGTTGCTAGGCAAAATACGTAATATTCATTTTCTTATGTACTTTTGTAAGGAAAAATACCTATAAGTGGTGGAGTTGCTCTGAACTCTTTGATTTACAGACAAAAAAAGAAAAATAAAAAAATAAAAAAAATGTTAAGAATAAAGATTCAACCATTGTTGATTTACAAAATGTAATTAAAATTGAAAGAAATAATATAACAACTCAATATATTATTAATTCTCTAACAAAATGAAAAAAAATGATAAAACACGCCCTAATCATAGGCATAGAATTTGTATTAAAGCTACTTCCTCCACAAACTAAAAGCATGCAAAAAAAATATTGATGAGATGGCTGATTTCAAGGAAAATTTAACAGGATCAATGACATAAGTCATCAAAAATTTATTGAGAACTTTTGAAATGAAGTATTTAATGTTGTACAAATTGTGTTATTAAATAAAACAAACAAATTTATATTTAATAATTTAAATTACATATTAAGAAATCATGAAACTAAACAACATAATGAACATAAATATATATCAAAATAATTTTTTTTTCGAAATAAGACAAGAAAGCAAACTAAAATTTGTGTGATACCACAGTTTCCTTAAAACAGATTTGTCGCCTCACCGTGGGTGTTGGAGGTATGTTGGCGTCTGTCTTTCAGAATACGATAGTTTAGACCCGCTAACATAGAAGCACCTTCTGTTTAGCTCTGGCGAACTGAGAATGTCAACACTCCCTCACACAAGAAGAATATAAGAGCAGATTGACTATCACTTGAGAGCAAAAGAATTTATGTGTGGAAACCAAGGAAGAAGGCCTCCTTTTATACACAATGGGAGAGAGATGAGGAGCCTCCCAGCCATGAAGACTGGCAACAAATGCAACCAATTTCTCTTGCAAAATTGATGGAGTAATGCACAAAATTGATGAGACATAAGTGTGTAAGTTACACACAATATACACGTGTGTAAATATATAATCAGCCACCTAATAGACTTGCCCAAAAAGATTAGGTTGGTGGATCACCAATCCGGGCTCAAACCTAATCCATTTCAGCAAATCTCAAGTCCAAGATCCACGATCCATGGATCACGGACTGGACCGGTCCGGGTGGTGCCCGCGCGTGTGGCAATTTTTGCATAACCAACTTGGACCATAGTTTTGGCCGAAGCTCATCCTTGAAGCATCCATAGCTCTCTTCCTTCAAAAAATTTGGATCCCCCAAAGGGCTCATGCTCTTATCAAAATCTTGAGGTTTAAATACCGATCAATACTTTTCTCAATACCTTATTCACAAGGCCAATTTTATGGGACAATTTCTCATTCAATTTTTACTATTTTTTGTTATTCTTTTTGTGGTGTAAAGATCTTGTTATAAAGAATTTACAGCAATTTGATTCTACCTCAACCGGTAGTTGCGACCTACTTTAATTTCACATTGAAGTCACCATAAAACTATTTTTTTCCCAACATTTGAAAAATTCTTATACATAACCAAAACAACCTTAACAAAGAGGGCCCAATGGGTCATATTGTACCTTACGATGGTCTCGGGTTGCCATATATTGTGAAGCGACAACCGTACAAACAAAGTTGGTGTGAGGTTCTTTTTTGGAAAATATAGGCAAGCTCCAGTAATGGAGAGTTCATCGAATTCCTCTCCTTCTTCTGCTAAAAGAAGTTGTTGATGATGTCGTCGAGAGATCACCACAAAACAATTAGCTCTACTATCCTACTATGTGGAACGCATCACTTTATGTTGCAATCAAGTATCACTTGATCTTTATGGTGCAGACCCCATTTTAGTGTGGCCATACTTGATTTGGTTACTACACTACAAGAATTCACATTTTTGCCGACTAAAAATTTGGTCGGCAAAAGTCCATTTCTAGTCGGTAAAAGTTATCCGCGACTAATTTTTTTAGTCGCCACTTTGGTCGCCAATTGAGGGTCGCGGAAAGTAATTAGCGACTAAAAAATTTTTTAGTCGCGAAAAAGTTATATTTGCCGACTAAATTTTTGATCACTAAATATATAATTACTACGACTAATCCATTTAGTAGCTAAAATACTTTAGTCACGAAAAAGTTATATTTGCCGACTAAATTTTTGGTGACTAAATATATAATTACTGCGACTAATCCATTTAGTAGCTAAAACACTTTAGTCGCGAAAAGTCATATTTTCCCGACCAAACATGTTAGTTGCCAATTCGCACATTCAACAACCAAATAGTTTGGTCGCCAATTGTGGCCCATTTCCACAACGAACAAATTTGATCGCCAATTGTCACATTTCACTACCAAAAAGTTTGGTTGGCAATACATTCCACGACCAACAAGTTTGGTTGGCAAATGGCACATTCCACGACCAAAAAGATTGCTCGGCAATTGTCACATTCAACCATCAAACATGTTAGTCGTGAAAAAGATTGTTTGCGCAACTAAAACTTTAGTCGGCAATTGACTTATTAGCAACGAATTCCTTTTTGGTTGCCAAAATTAACGACTTTAACGACGAATTATTTAGTCGGCAAAAGTATTAGTTATCTTTCCCAACTAATCAATTGGTCGCCAAAATAGAAAAAATAAGATCAACATTTGGTCGCCAACATCCAACAAAATAAACCTGTAATTCATAATAATTTATCCAATCCATTCAATATAATATGTAATTTACAAACATCATTCAAATCAACTGAATCATGAACATTCGACAAAATATAAATCATCCAAACTGAACCTGTTTAATGAAAGTCATTAATTATTATAAGTCTTCATCCACAAGTAATTTCAAATTACATGTTCCTCCAATTAAAAATCCACTTGTAATCTATATAATCATCCGAGTCACATCCATCTAGCATAATAATTTAAAACATAACAATTAGTTGTCATTATGTTTTAAATTGTTATCCATGGCGCATCTATCAAAAAATATACACACTAGTAGTCTATCCAAATATTTTCCATACACATTCATCCAAAAAATATAACTATTAGTCTTTCCAAAAATATAACTACTAGTCCACCCAAATCTTTTCCATACACATCTATCAAAAAATATATATTCCTTCCAAAAATGCTTATAGTGCCAATCAGTCATATACAATTTAGCTTTGTGCACGAGATAATCCATCTGTATCAAAGAAAATGAGAAATAATTTCAGGTAAATTTTTGTTGAAAATATTTGCACATCACTTTATTGTAAAATTGGACAAAAAATGTAAATTCTACATGGAAAGTAAAGGAAACATTAACAAATTAAATGACTATCAATACCATTTTGTAAATAAAACATCATTCATATGTATATATCAATTCTAACTATTGTTCCACAATATGCCAATATTGACCTATGTTTCAACAATGGACACTAAGTTAAAATAGTCTTTCTACTTCTGAATAGTCTATATGCTTTGGTTGAACTTTTACTTGGAGGAGGGTAAGCGTGAGAGTGGAGTGAAAGATACAAGGTTAGGATTATCAACACAAGCTCCAGCAAAACAACAAACCCATCTCTCTATCAGAAGCATATTACCAGACTAATGTATGTGTTTTTGTCTAAATAGTCTATATGTTTTTGTCTATATGTTACCAGACTAATGTATGTGTTTTTGTGAGAGCAGAGTGGAAGATACTTCTGAATAGTCTATATGTTTTTATCTCTAGCCATCTCTATAACTACTGTTTTCACTTTGGGATGAAGGGGTGGAAACGTGCCTTTGTAGCGTGGAAAGAGGGCATATAATAAAACTTATGCTTTAATATGCAGATGCAAAATCTGAAAATCAACTCCCTCAGTAAAAGGTTCTTTCATTAGTCTCACACTGAAGTGCACATTATTCAAAACTTATGTAGTTAAGAAGTTTACAATTCCATACGAGACTAATGTATGCGTGTGTTCTGTGTACATAGCATTATTCTGTTTCTGTTCATGTCAATTTGGTAAAGGAAGAAAAAATTATGATGCTACTGTTTCTTATGTTGTTAAATCACAAACAGAATGACAAGACTATGTATCTTATAATTAGTTTACACATTGAAACAATACAATATTCTGGATCATCTCCATACTAAAACAAAACCAGATCAACTGGCTGCACCATAACAGGGCCCATCCTTAAATATCAATGTCACAAGTTGAAAAAATCAATGATGGACTTCAACAAGTACACCTATTCAATCCCATTTGGGTAATAACCTACAGGTTCAGTATGTAGAGGAAAATTTAATTTATTTTTTATGAAATGCCTGCGCCTTGGTAGCATATAGGTTGTTGTGCATATGTTTAGGAACTTGGATTTGTTAAGTAAAAAGAAAAGGAAACTGAAAGTGATGATGACAGAAACAAAAGAGAAATGAAATGAAATATCTAAATTCCTTGGTTTTGTTTTGTTGAGGGGTAGGAATTCAAACCACTTAAATATTTTCTACATTTAAAAGGCAACAACTCATTTGACAGATTTATTGTTGGGGCTTCGTCAATTACACCACACGTCCGACAGATTTATTGTTGGAGATGTGAACTTCTAATGCAAGTTGAATTCAAATATATAATAATGATTTCTAATATATGGAAATGAACAAGAGCCTTCAAGTTCAATAACAAACCCTCGTGCACACAAGCAAACAAAAGCTAAGGTAAGATAACCAGAGTAGAATATGATATATGCACATGAAAACTCACCTTATAATATGATATATTCTCTTTGGAATCTAATACTAAATAGGGTAACTTTACCTCTTGCTAGCCACATATAGCAGAAATATTCCAAGTAATATGAAAGTAACTTGGCAATATCTTAAATGATATGAATAGTAGGCATGGAAGCTCAATAAAATTTTGAAGCCAGGAGGCTGCAAGGCCTGAGACAGAGTAGTGACAAGTAGAGAGGAATAAAACTTGAAAGATACAAAAACAATTCTTAAACAACATAGCACCATTCAACGGATAGAAATTAGAACCTAATGACATCACAAACTACATTCAGAACTCAATTGTTTAATAGCACCGAAAGATGCAACACAGAATTTAGAGGCATGGCCAATTAAGGTTACACATTTCCAATGGTCACAAGTTGGATTTAAAAATAAACACGGTTGGCGCTTCAATTGGTAATCCAAGACTAGCGGGTGTAGGGGCTTTGATTGGAAATATTGTCGGTTTCTAGGTGGTGGGATTCATTCAGAAAATTGTGTGGGCTCATGCTTTAACGGCGGGTTATGTGCAGTATGGCAAGGTCTACTCTTCGCTTGGCAAAGAGGATGCAGGGAGATTATCTTGGAGATGGATTGCCAAGATGCAGTGAGTTTGTTGCAAGGTCCAAATTCTTTACATCCTAATTTGAATTTGGTGCTACAGATGAGGGAATTTGTGAAGGAATGAGACTGTAAAATCCAGCATATTTTCCTAGAGAAGTAAAAGAGTGTGCAAATCAGTTAGCACATGAGGCACTACAATGAGGTACTCACTGATATTTCTGCTAGTTTTTCTTCTTTTTTTCCCCTTGGCTTTGGCCACCATTGTATACCAACACCAACCCAGTCTGTATCTGTGTGTGTCAAACTGGTATGATAGAGTTTTGTGGGATATATATGTGGGATCTACAAACAAAAACAATAAGCAGTTACAAGCTCTGAAAACTCTCTAGTCACATACACGTTCAGTTAATAAGCAACGTTAAAAGATTAAGTGTTACAAAACACCAAAGAATATGCCTTTTGGGAGGAGAAAAAACAAAAAAACAAAATTAATGAACAAGATTCCTGTTCACAGAGAAAAATTTAACAAATATTTTTTCAAACATATGAACAAAACAGACATATATTAAAAAAAATGCTCTTTTAAAGTAAATAAAGGATCATAGCAACTTTGAATTTAGACCGGCAAAACATGTAATAGGTTATCAAGAAGGTATCTAACAGTGGACCATCAATTATCCCAAAGTATAAGTACAAACCAAAAAACAGATTGAAGCCTTATTCTATGCGAACACTGATTTTAGAACCCATGTATTGAGGTTCTTAGTAGCATTCCTACTAGTAATTTAGGTTTAAGGACATACCTCCATTACAGAAGTTCGTTTTGCCTCCAAAGTTAAGCAATGAACAAGAGCATTCCATTTTCTGGAACAGTTATTAGGGACACAAAGCCGCCTATAATACTGCTGCATCTGATGGAGAGGAGCTGAGAAAACATGAATGCCATTAGTTTGACAATCCGAAAAACAAAAAAACAAGCGTAGAATTACTTGAAACATAAATAATAAGTTAAAAAAAACATTAATACTGCTGCTGCTGCTCACATTAATTTTGAAGGGGAGATGAGCGTTAATTTTGACATAAAATGATAATTTTAAAAAATAAAATAATTACTCGAAACATTAATTTGGTTGTTATGCACAAATCAAACATTTCACATTTACATACCATCTTGGAGCATTGTTAGCATCAGTCCTTAGGCTTCTTTAGTACACTTTTTTCTCCTTTTTAGACGTGCTTAGGCTTCTTTAGTACAGTTTTGCTGAAGTGTCCTTAAATACTAAAAAGTAAGATCTTGTTGTTAACAGCCTTAGACATAGATCCAAGCCAAAATCAGGTAGCCAATGCCAGGACCAGGACCACTAATAGAACTGGGCAAGAATGTAATATGAAGCCAAGAAGTGATGCTTTGGTCTGTAACTTATTGGCTCAAAATCATGATTGGATTTTGGCAGGTTAGCAATGCCAGCAGGCCACAGTTACCTTTAGGAAATCGGTAATACTTCCAACTCAAGTTTTCAACCATGCATATTCCATACTAGTGGTCCTCGAAAATATTATCTTTTGTAAAGGTAAAGTTCGACTGAGAAACAAAGTTAAAACGCGAACGGAGCTCACCTGCAGAAGCGAGTCTTTGTGGTAGTGGGTGAGAGTTAGATCAATGCATTGACTCAGCTCAGTAAAGGGATCATTGTTCTCCAAAATTGATAGCATCTGAAACACAATATGTAAATCAAACTATAACGCAGCGGATGAAAAATTACGGTCATACCTTTTTCTGCAGAGTCTAAATTGAAGGATCTCGTGGTTAAATCATGTGCTTCCTGAATCTGATCAATCAACCCAGCAATGGAGTGATATTACAAAATGAATATCACCCACACAAGTCACAGTGCAAAATGGCTCTTAATCGTTGTATTTTGGGAGAGAATCAATATATGGGAAAAACATATGACATACGTTGTTTTTCTTTTAATCACCCATATCCCATATCATATCAGATATATAGGATAATATCTGATCTATCCATATCAGTTGATATGATAGATATGGATATCCTGAGTGGTTATCCAAATAGGTTCTGAATTCAAATTCAAACTTATTTGGATAAGGTTAAAAAGGTTCAGAAAAGGGTCATGCCACATGGGCGCCCAATTTTTAACATCTCCCACTCGTACATGAGTTGGCATGACACTGCCACATCTCTATCTCAATCTCCCCAAAACTGAACAATCTCATACTAGCCAATGCATCGTGCGATCGTTGAGAACACCTGCATGTGGGAGCTCTATACTAGAAACTCAATATGAGTCAGCATAGAGACATCAACCCAAAAAGAACAGAAATAGTGTCTCATGTACCCAGACCCTCGACTTCACATCTCGATGGATGTAGTATGGCTTGGTATAAAGATGTATATACTCAAGACCTTTTGCAGCATCTAGAGCAATATGAACTGTTGTGGTCCAAGGAAGAGGTTTAAAACCTGTTGATTTATTAAGCCTTAGCATTGAAGGTCTAGTCATCAACATCATCATTTTTTTAACTAGAGCAATATGAACTCAATTTCAGTCACACTTCCATCCGGATCGCTCCCACTATCCTTAGAATGCTCGCTATAGTGAATGAAGATACACTTCTTTCCTCTAGGGCCCAACTTCCCAAACTTATGAGAAGCGTTGTGTATGTAAGCTGTCGAACCCCAAGGCCGCAAATTGCCCAAATCAGGCTTTTTGCCAGTCCACATCTCATATGGGGTGGAAGGAACTGATTTGGAGGGCACACGGTTAAGGACATAGGCAGCAGTTAACAAAGCATCTCCCCAATAAGAAATAGGAAGATTAGCTTGCGCCATCATTGATCTAACCATGTCAAGCAATGTGCAATTCCTTCTCTCCGCTACACCATATTGTTGCGGAGTCCTAAGAATTGTCAATTGCCTGATGACTCCTTTTTCCTCACAGAGCACTTTAAATTGCTCAGATAGATACTCACGTCCTCGGTCAGTCCTTAGAGCCTTAATGCTCTTGTCTAATTGATTCTCAACCTCATTAACATACCGTCTAAAGCAATCCAATGCTTCTGACTTGTGAGAAATCAAATAGACATGACCAAAACGCGTGCAATCATCTATAAATGTGATGAAATAAGGGGTTCCATGCCTTGCCCTCACATTCATTGGTCCACATATATCAGAATGAATAAGTTGCAATGGGATAGATGCCCTTATGGCTTTCCTAAATGGTTTCCTTGTTGCCTTACCAGCAAGACAGTGCTTATAAGTAGGCAAAGTGACTCTAGCGAGTGGGCCTAAAAGACCTTCTCTAGCCAATCTAGTCATCCTGTCTTGCCCTATGTGGCCTAATCTAGCATGCTATTTCATAGAATCATTATCACAAAAAGATGCAATATTCAAAACAGAGCCATTGGCATTTTTATTAAAACTAGAATCATCCACATCCAAAATTAAAAAAACATCTGAAAGATAACCAAAACCATAAAAAATTGTTCCCAAATAAATGCAAACACCATTATTCTCAAAACAGAAGCTAAAACCAAGGCTCATCATGCTAATAACTGAAACTAAGTTTCGCCGAATATCCGAAGCATAAAGAACATCATGAAGATACAAGGTGTGCCCTCGTCGCATTTCCAGCTTGTATGTGCCAATGCCAAGCACCTCCACACTGGTCTCGTTCCCCATGTAAACTTTTCTGCTCCCAGCAGGTACTCGGCGATACTCAACGAACCCTACTCTGTCCCTCGCGATGTGGTCTGTTGCTCCGGAGTCTACAACCCAAAAATGAGGTGAATGAGCAATTAATGCTTGACTAGACACAAAGCATTGAATGCGAGAAATTAAGTAAGGGAGTACCTTCTTCTGCTTAGGGTAATCCCAAGCGAAGTGTCATTCTTTGTTACAGTTAAAGCATGTCAATTTAGCCTTTACCTTCTTGCCACCTCTCTTGCCCTTACGCTTGAAATTTCTAGCGCCATTGGGCTTTAGCGCAGCTGCTGCTTGCTTCTTAGGGGCACCTTTTGCTTTTCCACGTTTGAACTGAGAAGTCCTACCTGAGCTCGACTCAACCACCATAGCAGAACCATCAGACTTAGCTGCCTCAAGGCGCTCAGCCTCTAGCTCCAACTGACGTGATATGTCTTCGAATGTTTTCACACTCTCATTATGCATCATGTTCTGCTTCATCTGTTCCCAAGAATTTGTCAGAGAGCGAATCACAGCTCGTACTTGTTGCTCTTAAGTCAAATTGTGCCCAGCAGCCGCAAGCTCACGTATCATGGCTGACATGACCCTTAAATGCTGCTTCATCGAGTGATGCGCCCTTTTTTGATAAGAGTCAAACTTCATAGTCAGCCCATGTAGCTTTACCAAGGAGGTAATACCAAACTTTTGTTTGAGAGCTTCCTACATCTCAAATGCAGTCGGGCAATGCTCAAACTCACTAATCAAGTCGTTGTGCATGCTGCTCAACATAGTAAAGCGCGCACACCGATCTTTGTTACACCAAGTCTGAAAGACTTCAAGATCACGACGATGTTGAGCTGTATTGCCCTGCTCTGGCTCAACCATCACTTGTTCAAGTGTGGTCAACACTTCTTGCTCATTGAGGAGGTATTGGATCTTACGGCGCCATATATCATAATTGTCGCCATCCAATTTCTCTCCCTTAGTTAAGTCTGTCACCACTGTCTTAGCAGTCATTTTTACATACAGAGGTCTCGTTTGGCGAGTGACTTTTTTAGCTAAAAAGTCAAAAAGTTACTAAAAAAGTCAAAAAGCCAACAACTTATACAAAAAAGTTAAAGATTCTCTCTTCTCTCTACTTTTTGCACATCTTTTCGTAAAAAGTCAAAAAGTCATTCCAAATATACTAGTTTTTTTTACATCATATTTTAGTCAAAAAGCCAAAAAGCTACTAAAAAAGCTTGTTTCCAAATGAGGCCAGAGTAAACAAATGCGCAGGGGATATTAATGATAGCAACACAAAAAATTATTTTGCAGCAAAAAAATCTAAATTAAATAATGATAATTTTACACATGTCTCAAGATCGAAAATTTGCTATGCTCGTAATCATCTCTTGCGCCTCTAGTGATAATTATCAAAATTTAATTTAATTCCATGCGCAAAAAATAATCAATCTCCCACTACTTATGGCATATACAAAACATGATAAATTCCATACAATAGCATATTAATGTAAATATACAAATAACTCATGCTATATTCATTTAATAATGGAATTCAAATAAATAAATAAAAAACTAATTATGCTGCTTTAATTGCAACATATTACAAACCAAAAAAATATACTGTATTCAATATTCAGATTATGCCATAATAAAAAAAAATACACCATTCTGAAATTTCTGGAAGTTTTCTGAATTTTTCTAGAATTCTAAATAACTAATAAACACACATAAAATTAGAAATAAACAATTTCAGAATCTGATAAACTGAAAAAAATATAGCAGTAAACAGTAAAACATTTCAGAAGTCTACAATAAAAATTTCAACCCCAGAAAATTATTCATGCAACACCAGAAGCATTTTAAAACATAAATAATGAATTATTCTTATAGAAAAAATATTTTTTTTTTCATAAAAAATTTCAAAATTTTACAGAACATGGAAAATTTAATTCTGAGTCTAATAGTACTAACCACGCATAAAACAAATCTATAACGAATTATTTATGACCATTTAACGCGATTCAGAATTAAAAACAAAACAAACAGTGCCTTATGCATTAGCAGCCAAGCCAACCAAGCCGACGGAGGAAAAATGGCGCGGCTCAGCGCACGGCGCGCGCGCATGGCGCAGACGGCGCGCGCGTGGACAACGTCGCTGATGCGCGCGTGATGGCGCGTGGAAGCGCGTCAGAAGTGCGTCTGGAGCGTGGCAGCGGGTGTAAGCCGCTCACGGGGTTAGGTGGCGCGTGCAGACCACGCGCCGCCTTCCAAGGTGTTTTTTGGTCCAATTTCGGTACTGCAGACTCCTTTTTCCAAAATAAAATCATTTATGGTACTAAAAATGACATTAATGAACATAAAAATAGGGTTTTTTATGCTCTTAATCTAATGAGAGTTGACATTTTCCTCCTTTATAAATATTCATGTATATAATGTGTACATATATATATATATATATAAATATACACATGATTAAAGAAAACACAAAAATACCCATTCATGCTCTGATACCAATGTAAATCAAACTATAACGCAGCGGATGAAAAATTATGGTCATATCTTTTTTTGCAGAGTCTGAATTGAAGGATCTCGTGGGTAAATCATGTGCTTCCTGAATTTGATCAATCAACCCAGCAATGGAGTGATATTACAAAATGAATATCACCCACACAAGTCACAGTGCAAAATGACTCTTAATCGTTGTATTTTGGGAGAGAGTCAGTATATGGGAAAAACATACGACATACGTTGTTTTTCTCTTAATCACCCATATCCCATATCATATCAGATATATAGGATAATATCTTATCTATCCATATCAGTTGATATGATAGATATGGATATCTTGAGTGGTTATCCAAATAGGTTTTGAATTCAAATTCAAACTTATTTGGATAAGGTTCAAAAGGTTCAGAAAAGGGTCATGCCACATGGGCGCCCAATTTCTAACACAATATATCTAGCATTAGTTCCACAAAAAATATTGAACAATGAGCACTAGCACATGCACACATAGAGAGCACACAAAAAATATTTAAAGCCGATGTCAATAAACACACCTTTGCATGAAAAGAAGAATCTAAAAGAATGTTGCTCGACTTCACATCTCGATGGATGTAGTATGGCTTGGTATAAAGATGTATATACTCAAGACCTTTTGCAGCATCTAGAGCAATATGAACTCTTGTGGTCCAAGGAAGAGGTTTAAAACCTGTTGATTTATTAAGCCTTAGCATTGAAGGTCTAGTCATCAACATCATCATTTTTTTAACTAAAAGCAGACCCAGTGGAAAATGGAGAAATATATATATATATATATATATATTTTAAAAACTTTAATCACTTTGAACAATAGATTTCTTTCAACCACAAAAATTCATTCTTAGAATTACCAAGTGGGTGCATCAGCATTTTCTACAATTTCTATAGGCAAAGAGTTGCGAGCAAGACTAATTGAAACAGGTGAAACCCATAAATTCAAATATGAAACAATTTTAGTAGAGGATACTTGTTTAGAAGAAGGGTCTGTCCCATTGTACGTCTTAACTTGACAATTATTTATACTAGAATCATTAATCTGAACAAAATGTGTCCGAAAAACAATTTCCAGCCGACAAGCAAACTGAAATAAGACACAGCTCACTTCTTATTTTATCTATTTATTTTTATCTTTGAACCGATAACCATACAAAGTTAAAAGTACTTTTATTTGTCAATACGTTTTCTTCATTCCAAATGATAGTACATTTGATGAAATAACTTCAATTGATAGCAAACACTACTAGAACTATCACCAAATTCTTTTAGTGGTTTTACTTGATATTGAACGTCGTGTCTGATACCAAAATATTTGTTTTGCTAAAAGATTTTAGAACTGTTAAATGTTCTGACTAAACAATATGATTTAGAGAGCAATACTGAATTGATGCAGCTGCGTAGAAATTATATATTTCAACCATGAGATAATGATGTATTAATATCTTAATTATATTTGGAACCAATGTCCACTGAAAAAAGTAAATGTAGGCAAATTTGGGAGATCGATCAGTAAGTGTTAGACTTTGTGATGTTAAAATTTGTTTCAACAAGTATTACACTCTTCTACACAAAACTAAAGTAGGAGTAATTCTCTGGAGCTGTATTTCTGTGAACTTTTCTGTTCTACAAAAGCAGTCTGAGCCAAATAGCTGATACAAAAATGACTGAGTCTGCACATACAAGACTTCTAAGATGTTTGTGATTTATTTGCAAGAGCATCGAAGTAAATATCATTGATTAGTCATGAGTTCAAACCTCTTATAGCGGGATTGTGAAGATGATCGCTTAGTGCACCATTTTGGGCTAATTCATATACAAGAAACAAGGAGTCTCCACCGGTAGCATATCCAATAAGCTTGATCTATTCGGAAAACCCAAGAGAAAGAAAAACTAAAAAAAATAAAATTAGCCAAAAAGTAGACCCTTAAAGAGCAAAAATGAGCAAAGTGAATCCAAAATTTCCATTGTCCCAGAGAAATATGATAATTTTACCAAGTTTGTATGATGAACTCTGCAAAGAATATTGAGCTCTGACATGAACTCTTTAGACTTGGTGTCATTCATCTGTTTGATGGCCACATCCTAAATTCATATGGGAACAAGCTGTTAATAGAATATTCCTATACAAATTTCAAAGGTTCAACAGTGAAAGTATATAGTCCCTCGCACTTACATCTCCTCTTAATTTACCTAGGTAAACAGATCCATATGATCCTTGACCAATCTTTAAAGACATACTTAAGTTTAAAGTCGAATCACAAACTTCATTGTACGGGAAAACAATTGCTTTATCAGAATTAAAAGAGCCTACAATGCTTTCTCCACATTCTGCAAAAGAATCTCCCTAGAATTAATTAGTCAGTCCTAGAGTAAGTACTGAATGTAAATCAACTACAGTTACAGAATTTCCCAGCAGAGATATATTTACTTGTAGGTATGCTGGGTTGATTTAGGGGTAGGTTTGCGTGAAGAAGGTATGCGGATGAAAGAAGAAAAAAACCCTAGAGGCTGAAATTAGGGGAACAAAGATAGAGATATAGAGATACATATATATATATATATATATATAGAGAGAGAGAGAGAGAGAGAGAGAGAGAGAGAGAGAGAGAAACCGGGAGGACATACTTTGGCTAGTGCCCCAATGATGGATCGTGACTACGAGATAAGATGATATAGGCTGTTGGTTTGCGATGGTCCTCATGTGCAACGGGTGTCGACGCCGATGGTGCTCCTGTACCAACAGCGATGGAGACAAAAGTGAGAGAGAGAGAGAGAGAGAATCGAAGCTGGGCAGATGTGAGAGAGAGAATGGGAGGAGGGCAGATGTGAGAGACAGAGAGAATCGTAGACTGAGAGAGTCACAGAGTGAGAGAGAGACGGACATGTTTTTAAGCCCTAAGTCACAGAGTGAGATGAGATGGGGTGAGGTTTGGTGGTGAAGGAGAATCTGTATGAGAGAGAGAACAATCTGATTGGTTTAAACAGAGAACAGGCGGGGGCAATTAAATGGTTTCCCTCTAAAATTTTCACGTCTTTGGCGACAAAATTGATTTTTGGTCGGCAAATGTTATTATCTGTGATCAAAATATTTTAGTCGCTAAACATTTTTTCATTCCCACTTTTTTTTTTTTTTTTTTTTTCGACTTTTTTTTTTGTCTTCCCTCTTCGACTTTTGCCGACCAAATTTCAATTTGATCACAAAAAATTATATTTTGGCAACTAAAAAAATATTAGTCAGCAAAACTCCAAACCTTTATCGGGCGCTACTAGTATAAATTAAGTATAAGATAAAGATCACAGAAGCAAAGTTCAGTAAGGAAGCTTCAAGAATCTTTATCCGGCGCTACCAGTATAAATTAAGTATAAGATGAAACTATAAGATAAAATTTAAGTGTTGCGAATTTCAGGCTTTCACAACCCAAAAAAAGAAAAACAAGAAATTACATGTTCCTTGAATCATTTTATAGAAAGAGAGGGATATTTATACCTCAAATTGTTTTTAGGGAGAGTTGAAGATGCTCTAGAAAATGGGGTGAAGGCCCTGGTGGGTGAGACATTGTAGAACAAAATTACTTTAGTCAAAGAGAAAACAAAGATAGAGAGTCATAGGGTGAGAGAGATAGATATTAGGGGAAGAGAGGCAGAGAGAGGGACAGAGAGAAGGCAAAATAGGGAGGACATACTGGGGTAATGCTCCAATAGTGGATCGACGGTAGTGCTTGATGGCAGTGATGCTCCTTACCCGACGGTGATGGAAACAAAGCGACATAGATTCAATATTAGAAGGAGGGCAATCGGCGTGAGAGAGAGAGAGAGAGAGAGTAATGGAATGAGAGAGATAGAGGTGTGAGAGAATCAGAAGAGGGTAGATGCGAGAGAGAGTCACAGAGTGAAAGAGAGAGAGACGTGTTTAAGCCCTAACTCATTTTAGTGTGTTTGAAATCCCTCCAGAGTTCCTTACCAAATTAATTTAAAAATCCCTCAAAAATGATAAAAAATAAAAAATAAAATTATAATAATAAATAATAATGATAATAATGATAATAATAATAAAATTAAACATGAACTCAAATTGGGCAGTATGTGTTCCCACAAAAAAAATTGAGTTTTATTGCTGACTAAATGTGTTTGTCACCAAAAATATATATTTGCCGACCAAATGAGGTAGTCACCAAAGATTAAAAATAAAATTATACTAGATATTTGGCGACTGAATTTCTTTTAGTTGGCAAAAGTTGGTATATGATGACTAAAATTTATTTAGTCGTTGAAATAAATTTTTGGCGACCAAACTTTTAGTCGCCAAAAATAAAAGTAAATTTTTGTTTTCCATTCAGCGACTAAATAAATCTAGTAGCCAAAAGTAACTATACAACGACTAAAATATTTATTAGTCGTTGAAAATAATTTTTTGGCGACCAAACTTTTGGCCACCAAAGATAAAAAGTAAATTTTTATTTTTCATTCAGCGACTAAATTATTTTACTTGCCAAAGCTATCTATACAGCGACTAAAATTTTTTTTAGTCATTGGAAGTAAATGTTTGTTGACCAAACTTTTGGTCGCCAAAGATAAAAAGTAAATTTTTATTTTTCATTCAGCGACTATATTATTTTAGTTGCCAAAACTATCTATATAGCGACTAAAATATTTTTTAGTCGCTGAAATTAAATTTTTGCCGACCAAACTTTTGTCGCCAAAGATAAAAAGTAAATTTTTATTTTTCATTCGGCGGCTAAATTATTTTAGTTGCCAAAACTATCTATACAGCGACTAAAATATTTTTTAGTCGCTGAAATTAAATGTTTGCCGACGAAACTTTTTGTCGCCAAAGATAAAAAGTAAATTTTTATTTTTCATTCAGCGACTAAATTATTTTAGTTGCCGAAACTATCTATATTTTTTAGTTGCTGAAATTAAATTTTTGCCGACCAAACTTTTGGTCGCCAATGATAAAAAGTAAATTTTTTTTTTGATTCGGCAACTAAATAATTTTAGTTGCCAAAACTATCAATACAGCGACTAAAATATTTTTTAGTCGCTAAAAATAAATATTTTGCGACCAAACTTTTGATTGCAAAAAATAAAAAGTTAGATTTTATTTTTCATTCGTCGACTAAATAATTTTAGTAGCCAAAACTACTTATACAGCGACTAAAATATTTTTTTAGTCACCAATTGTGGCAAATTTAGCGACTAAATTTTTTTAGTCGCCAATTGTGATATTTTTAGTGACTAATTTTTTTTTAGTTGCCAATAATCAATATACCCCGACTATAAAAATTTAGTAGCTAAATATTGTACTTTTACCGACTAACATAATTTTTGGTTGCCAATTCCACAACTTTTAGCAACCAAAATATTTTTAGTCGGCAAAAGTGATCGCCAAAAGTGTATTTTGTTGTAGTGCTACTTCAGGTCATAATTAAGATCATTTTAACTGAAATAATTTTTTTTAAGGCTCAATAAAGACTAAATAAGAGCTTGTGACACTTAATAAAAAGTGAATATCATAAAATTGCGGCTTCAGAAATATTTAATAATTTTTATTTCTAACACCTGCTTTTCTTTCTATTATTGTTCTATGGGATGAGACATGAAATTCAGTTCAACTCAATGAAAGGGAAAAAGAAAGGCTGAAAAGTGCAAATACTTTGTCCCATTTGAAGAGAAGAGAAGCCAAGCCAAACAAACTTCAAATTGTTCCTAACATCAACAGTTTGGTGTGTGTCTAGTCTGTGACAAGTTTGTCCTATTTGTTCATACAAAATCTGAAACAAACTTTATACATAGCGTAATGTCATGGAAAAGTAAAGCTTCATGGATGGATAGACCATATGGCCTTTGTTTCCTAGTTCATCCTTTTTTTTTTGGGGGAGGGGTGGTTTCCAAAATTCATATGATCTATCTTAAGGTTCAAGATTGTCTTGTTAGGCTCCAAATTCCATTTTACTAATCCTATCTTTTGATTTTAAATTTGTAGAGATAAAAAAATGAGAGAAAAGTAATAAATAAATAATAATAATAAACTTACATTTCATTTATTTTTTCTAACATTTTATTTTCTTTACAAATTTCCACACAAATCTAAAATCGAAATACAGCTAAGGCTGTTTTTGAATATTAAATTTGTGAAGAGGATATATAAATTTAAAGAAAAAAGTGAAATGTTTAAAAGGTTTTATTTATTTTTATTTTTTTGCTCTTTTTCCATTTTGTAACTGCCTTTCTTGTAGCACTAGTGTTATTTAAAACATTTTTAAAGTATATTTGCTTTCCATTACTCCTCGTTATCGGGTGTTTGAGTTGTTGTATCAATGTATTGGTGGAGCAAGGTTTGGTTTAAATTTGTTAGAGCCGTTCCTTCACGCTTAGTTTTGCCGAAAAGTTACTTGGGAACCTTGAAATTCTATTATGGGTGTCGACACTTGGCTAGAAGGTGTCGATAGTTGCTTCTTTGTCCTTTCTTTCTTTTGTCTACTGTTTTATAGGGTTGGCACTTGATTGGAAGGTGTAGACACTTGCTTCTTTGCCCTTTCTTTCTTTTGCCTACTATTTGATAGAGTCGACACTTGGCTAGGAAGGTGTCAACAGTTGCTGGAAGTGCAAAAAGTTTCAGCAATGTTTTTGGGCCCCATTTTTTAGATTTTTGACCTAATATTTTATGTATTCTTGGGCCCCATGACACATTTTACCCCTCTACTATAAATAGAAGCCTGTTCTCTCTCTTTTCTCACTTTTTTTTGACTCTCTCTCTCTCTCTCTCATTACCGTCGTTCTCTCTTTCTCATACCTTCCACCATTTTTGAACTTCAAGCTTCGATTTCATCTACTTCTAGGTGAAATCAACCCCTAGTTCTTGAGGGAAAAAGCTAGAGCACATTGAGAGCTACATTTGGGTGTAAGTGGATCGTGATTTCGCCACCTTCAACTTTTAGGTGTTCAATTCTTCTCTCTATTTCTTGAGGTGGGAATACCTTTAACCTTGTATATCTATATTTTGATATGACTTTGTGATTTTTCCTTAAATTTAATGAGGTATAAGATAAATGATTTTGATAAAAAGGAATAATTCTTTAAAAAATGGGGTTTCACTTAACCCTCTTGAATTATTTTGAAAGTTTTATAAGATTAGTGATTGGCTTGAGGACTCATTGATTAATAAGGGATATGAGCAAAATTCCTAAATTTTACAAAACCCTAGAGTATGATTTTGATTTCAAATTGATGTTTAAGATGAAGTGGAGTTGATATTTTGTTGATATGTTAGGAAACAATGTGGGGGGATGAATTTTGGAAATTTGTTGTGATTAGAAGTGATTACGTAAATCATAGAGAAACTACATGTTATGTTGTATGTTGAACTTGGTACCAGCACCGGAAAATTACATGCCCAATCGTATGAGGATGATAAATGTGGGAAATGTTTTGAGGTGTCCACATGCTTGATCGCGTGAAGATGATAAATGTGGAAGGTTTGAGGTAGCCACTTGCCCATCCGTGTGAGGACGAAAAATGTGGGATTGTTCTTAGAAAAATTTACACACACATATATATATATATATAAATATCGATTTGCTTTGAATAAAGGCTCTTTGATGCATTTGTTCTTTCGTAAGGGTATGAAGCCATGGGTTTTGGTGTAACCATATTTATATCAAATGTTTATATACTTTGTTAAACGTATTTCTACTAGACAACTTTGCTCATTCTTACCAAAATTAACATTTCAGGTCAAGACGAAGAAACACTACCCTGTTGAGTAGAAGATGAGGATATTTCTTTTGTGTAGCACTGACGCTCTTGTGATTTCCCTTTTGTGAAATACCTTTTGAGCTGATTTGTTTGGATAATATTCTATTTTTTGTATAATCAAGGCCCGTGTCTTGAAAAGATGTAAGCCATTAAGGTGTTTAGTTGTATTTTTCTCTCTAGCTCTTTGAATTACAAGTGTTATAACTTGTATTTTGCAACAATGTTATATTGATGTAAACATGTATTCTTTCAAAAAAGATCAAGGAAAAAGAGAGGTATTTGGTCACCATACCGATATTTCCAAACTTATGCGCTTATTTTATATTAACTTTTATTATGGAATGGTTATGAGTTAAAAATGATTGTATATTATTATTGTTTGAAAAAAATTGGGACATTACAACTTGGTAGTAGAGCTAATCAGGTTTGAATACTTTGGGCTCGTGGGACGTGGCTTTTGCCACAATGGGTTTACTATGCTAGGATGGGACACGTTTGCTTTGTATGCTTTATGTGTTTACGTGACCATATAGGTATGGGATTAAACTAGAAAGAAATTATTTGTATCCATGAAATTCTTAGAAGGCCCTTTAGAAAGACACTTGATCAATGCTATTTCTACTTGGAAGTCTTTGAACATTGTGGAACAAATCAATATCATAGAGGGGTAATTCGTATGTGCTTTATGTGGCTATGTGCTTACTTGGTTTGCTTTGTGGGATGTAGATACGTGTATAGGTTCTTGTTTACCTTGTGTGTGATGTGTGAGGTGGAGTTTGGATATATACACATATATATATTGCGAACTTAATTTTGTCTCAACTTTCATATAGGATATCAGGACGTGGTAAAGGCCATGGTAGACCTTGTCGTGGTGCTTGGGATGTTCCCGCACAAGATGATATTCTCTTGCAAGAAGAAGGGGTTGGTTAGAATAATGTGAACAATGTGGCTAGGCAATCGGGCCAAGATGCAATGGGGGCGTTAGCCCGAGAGATGGCCAAGGCTCTTAGGGAGTCCATGCACATTCTTAGAGCCGAGCAAGCGACTAGGACCATTGAGGGGGAGTCTAGGGCCTCTTTTTTGAAAAATGAGTTTTTCCACTCAAATCCCGATGAGTTCCATGGCAGTGCCAAACTGTTGAAGGCCAATGAATGGTGTAGATACCTCATTTTGACTGGCCTTATGACTTGGGTGCTTTATTCTTAACACCCGATGATGAAAGTTGCAATGTGCAATCTTTTGAATTCCTCAATAGGAAAGCCAAATTCAAGCTTTAATCCCAACTGGCCCAACCTAATGCCCGTTTTAGCTAAGCTTTTTTTTGACCCTCTTAAAACTTTTTTCAAAATGTTTTGGTTGGATAGTTCCAAACATTTACACAATGTTCTGAGACTAGCGTTTTCGAACTCCAAATATTATCTTTTTTAGTAGACCAAGCAAATGATAGAGTGTGAGTGAATGGAAGTGATGGAATTCTCTAGAAATACCTGTTTTTCCTTTCAAATTATGCTAGCCCTACATTGTTGATCTAATGGTACATTTTTTTCCCTGGCCGTATAACAAGTTATGGCCAGATGAAAAATGTGGCCAGCTGGATGAATAATTGTATGACTGGCAGAATTGTCCGGGTACAGAGCATTTTTAGAAAATTCAGCTTCCTCTGCAAGTTTTACTCAAATATGTTAGACATTTTTGTTCAAAATTCTATATATATATATATGCCTCATGCTTCATTTTCAAGGGTTAGAAAATATTTCCAAGAGCTAAAAGGCTTGTTGAGAGCACATGTCATGACCCCGACCTCGACCCCGCCACTAGAGGTTTATACCATAACCGGCTAGTAATCACTTGATCACCTACGACCTCATACAAACATACAAAATAATTATAATAATGGGGCCACAAGCGGAAGGATGGCAGAATTCGAGTTTGTGTTGATTTCAAAGATCTAAATAAAGCCAGGCCTAAGGATGATTTTCCGCTACCACATATTGATGAATTGGTAGATTTCACTATAGGTCACACTTTGCTTTCGTTTATGGATGGGTTTTTAAGGTATAATTAGATCTCCATCCTGAAGACTGAGAGAAGATGACATTCACTACTTAGTAGGGAACATATTGCTATCGGGTTATGCCATTTGGGTTGAAAAATGCTGGAGCCACCTCCAGAGAGCAGCAACCACTATATTGCATGACAAGATTCACAAGGAGGTTAAAGTATACGTAGATGATATGATTGTCAAGTCCAAGGAACGGGAGGGTCACCATGATGCCTTAAGGAGATTCTTTAAAAGAATTCGGGAGTACAAGTTAATGTTGAATCCGCAAAAATGTACCTTTGGCGTGATTGCAAGAAGCATGTTGGGGTTCTTGATTATGCAATGTGGAATAGGGGCCGACCCATCCAAAATCAAAGCCATCTTAAAAATGCCCCCACCAATGACTGAAAAGGAAGTGCGAGTAGGAAAAGCGCAATTTATAAGAAGGTTTATTTCTAAATTAGCTTCCACTTGTGAACCAACATTTGGCTTGTTAAAGAAAGGGAAAAAGTTTCAATGGGATAACTGATGCAGTTATGCTTTTGAACAAATCAAGCAATATCTGCAGAATCCGCCTGTGTTGTCACCCCTCGAGCTGGGGAAACCGTTGATCCTATATTTGTCAATGACTGAGTCCACCATGGGCTATATGCTGGTGCAAGAATCAGAAGAGAAAGTGGAAAAGGCAATATACTATCTAAATAAGAAAATGTTGGAATATGAAACCTGTTACACCCCTCTGGAAAAGGCTTGTCTAGCCTTGGTTTGGGCCGCTAGGAAATTGAGACACTACTCTTTAGCACACTCGGTAATCCTGGTTTCGATATTGGATCCCATCAAGTATCTCTTTGAAAAACTAGCACTTGCCACTAGGCTAGCTCGATGGCTACTTTTGTTGTCCGAGTTCGATCTTTGATATGTCACTTGCAAATTTGTCAAAGGGAGAGCTATAGTCGAGTTTTTGGTAAACCACCTGATCAATGGAGAAGAAGACAGGGAGTATGAGTTCCCAGATGAAGCGATCCTACAGTTAGAAAAGGACACTTGTAAATTGTATTTTGATGGAACTGCCAATCAGTATGGATACGGGATAAGAGTGTTTCTTATAGCACCTGACGACTCCCACATACCTCTGGCCTTTAAGCTTCGGTTTAAGGTATCCAATAATCAGGCAAAATATAAAGTATACATAGCTGGACTGGAAGCTGCCCTAGAACTAGGGGCAATAAGATTGGATGTAATTAGAGATTCAAACCTAGTTGTGTCTCAAGCTAATGGGGATTGGAAAGTGAAGGAAAAGAAAATGAAAGTTTATCATCAGACCTTGGATGTGATAATCTTAAGGTTTGAACGCTTGACATTGACACATTTAGTGAGGGAGAACAATAGGTTTGCTGATGCTTTGGCAACCTTAGCTTCAATGGTAGACATACCAATTGGGGTGAGGATGCGTCCGATTATGATAGAGAAGAGATACACACGGCATACGAGATGATTGTTACGATGGAAGAAGCCCAAGATGAAGACCTTTGATATTTTGATATTTAGAATTTTCTGGAGAAAGAAGTATACCGACAAAGGCAAATGCTAAGGACAAAGGGGGATACGGCATCTGGCAGCTCAATTCATCATCTATGGAGACAAGCTGTACAGAAGGGGTTATTTGAGAATGCATAAGTTATGTGTAGAAGAAGATGAGGCAAAGCGCATCATGGAATCTGTTCGTGGAGGTAAATGTAGGGCTCATATGAACAGTATAATGCTAGCTAGAAAAATCCTCAGACAAGGATATTACTGGTTGACTATGGAAAATGATTGTGTCAGTTTTGTTCGGTAATGCCATAAGTGTCAGATTCATGCCAATCACATGAACATTCCCCCATCAAAGTTGCACAACATGACTTCGTCGTGGCCTTTTTTAGTCTGGGGAATCGACGCCATTAGGGCAGTAACACCAAAAGGGTCGAATGGACATGAGTTTATCCTGGTGCCAATCTATTAATTCACCAAGTGAATGGAGGCACAGTTCTACGCAATGTTGAAGACGTTGCATGTGGCCAAGTTTATCAGGAACAACATCATCTGTAGGTACGGGGTTCCAAATGAGATTGTTTCTGACAACGGTTCACACTTTGAAGGAAAAGTGATTGATCTGCTCGAGAAACATAATGTGGCCTCTCACAAGTCATCTACCTATAGGCACAAACCAATGGAGTTGTTGAAGCAGCGAACAAAAATATTAAGAACAACTTACAGAAGATGGTAGAAATGTACAAGGATTGGCCAGATAAACTGCCTTTCGCGTTGTGGGCCTATAGGACATTAATCTGAACATCTACTGGGGCAACCCTCTACTTTTTGGTTTATGGGATGGAGGCAATACTACCAATTGAGAGATAGAGGTACCTTCGCTAAAGATTATGGCTGAATGTCAGATAGCAGAGGCTAATTGGCAACAGAATCGCTTTGAAGAGCTGATGTTGTTTGATGAGAGGAGATTGAAAGCAATATACCACGTGCAAGGGTACCAGAGCAGGATTACTCAAGCATTTAACAAGAAGGTTAACTCCAGGAATCTAAATGAGGGAGATCTAGTGTTGAAGGACAATCGAGCTTTTCAACTCAGTTGTCCTGTCCATGATTGATCGATTCATTTCAACATAGATCCAGATTCAGCTGTCTGGACCAGCTTTTTTGTGATAAATATGGTTACAAGGTAGGTTCGATTGGCAACGCAATGGTGGAAAGAATGTAGAGAGTCTTGTTCGTAGAATTGATTCGAGGTTGTGCATCCATGAGGGTTGATTTCAGGTACATTAAGTAGTGGTTGTTTGTGAAAATATATTTTGGTTTTTAACAAAATTGACTGATTTTCTCAGACATCTCTTTGCAAAATGAACCTTTCTTTAGACCTAAAAGGAATTTTTTCAATACCCACAATCTTTCTTACATGATTTCAAAACAAAAGTGGAACGTACATGCTTAGCTAACTCCTATATTAATTAAAGCATTTTGCATCATAAAAGCTAAGGTCAAAACAATGAACTAAGGGTATAGTCGAGTCAAGTCTATGAACTTCTCCCTACAGCATCAGAAGATTTTGCCACCAAGAATGGGCCCACCTGTGCCTCGTCCTCAAGCCAAAGCAGGCACCCACTGGAAAGATCTCGACTGAAGTCATCGGCAGGAGCTAGGAGCTCCCTCACTTCCAGCCAGTTGCATACCGAGAATGGTGCCTAGCCTAAAGAAAAAATGAAGCTAGACACTCAATGCCATCAGTAGGGCAAGTCTGATCATGTCCAAACTATCGTCTGAATTGGAAAAGAGAGAAGTAAAAGACGTAGTATGTTAGGCCAAGTAGTTGCACACCCGGTTGACGGAACATGCTATATGTCATTGAAGGCATGTTTAACTAGGGGCAATGCCAAGCAATGTCCATCGCAGACCTACTACACATCTAGTCGCACCACAGGTCTTCTGAAGGAAAATCTACTATTTGGGCTCGGAAGAAGTAGTTCCTAGCTGAGCATCGAGTACAAGGAGCCACTACTTTCAGCTTATCTATCAACCATACCTAGAGAGGGATGAAAAACAAGAAAGATTAAAGAATAGAGAGATGTGCGTTGAGTGGGAAAAGTGAGAAAGGGTTTTGAAAAAAAAAATTGAGTGAATAGAGCTAGAGTGATATAAGAAACATAAAGTGAGAAAGGGTGGGAAACAGTACCTGAAGAAGCAGTGGACTTCCTGCAAATTGGGAGGTCTCTTGTCTACGAAATGCATCTAAACCCATCAAAGTTTTGGCTAACGCTAAGCCCATGCAACTCTGACCTTCCTGTAGTCATTGGGTCACCTTAATGATCTTGATGCTTGCCCTGTTACTGTTAGGGACAAGTAAGTAGTGTAAAAGTAGGCATAAGCAAAGTGCGTGTTGTTGACGCCTTCGCCAAATAGGGTCATTCCTATCTCCATTGATAGAAAATTAGTGGATCAATCTACATACGTCAAGATTCTCACCATGAGCTAGGAACCAAGCCTCATTTAGAGTTAGACCACACATTCGGGTTAAGGCTTGAGCATGGATGAAATTGGGTTAAGGCATGATTCTTCATCTTGGGAAAGCTTTATTAATGCTCGAAATTCCTCAATGGTCGGGCATAGCTCTTGCACGCCAAAGTGGAATACATGGGTGATTGGATCCCAACAAGGAATTGCCACCCGGAGGAGAAGAAGATAGAGTAAGGTGCGACTAAAAGGAAAAAGAGCATTTAGGCAAAAACCCACGAAATTCACTTTATCAACACCGTCTAAAGAAGCTATCCAATCCTAGAGCCTAGCTATAGTTGAAGCCTCCATTTTCAGAAGAAACTCCTTAGTTTTTCCCCTTCTGGGTGAAAAAGCAGTCGCGAGCCACCTTTTAAGGAGATAAGGTTGCATGAGTGCTTGGCAACTATATCCCACTGTTTGGTCGGAACCTTCGATCGGTTGGTTAGGTTTGGCTCGGCTGGACAAATTTGTGACCGGCCAACCCCTAGAACTGCAAAAATAGTGTAGTTTTGCAGTCTAGTTTGTAGATTTTGTTTCAGGTCTTGTTTTGAGTTTTTTCCATCCCAATAGGTGTGTTTAGGTTGATTTCGCTATGTTGTGCATTCATCGAGTTGTATTTTTTGTTTTGATCAATTGTAGGCTCGATATCAGATTCAGAACTCATTCAAATACAACCATTCTCAATTTCAAAATCAAAATAAAACTGTTGTGTGCTTGAGTACGGTACCATGCATGTTTAGACATCTGAGATGGTTCAAAAACAAAAAGTATTTCAGTACTTCCCGATTAAAAGTAAAAGTTTTTGCAAAAACCCTGTCTAAATCTATACATGATTTTCTAACTACAAAGTAAAAGAAATGTACAAGAAGAGAAATACAAAAGGAATTAGGGTCGACTCACCCTCTTCATCCGTTTCGTCGGCGGAACCCTAATGTTGTCCCAATCAGCATTGCTGCCCTCAGCCTCAGCAAACTTCCTTACCTCCAGCCTCATCTCCGCTGTCTCTATCAGAGCCGCTACTGCTCTAACTGCTACTGGCATCATCTTTGAAGTCATCATCAGAGCCACTACCTCTCTCATTGCCTTTATCTTCGTCATCATCGCCATTGGTGCCATTTCCCTTCGAGTGCTCAATATCGATGCTCGCATCCCCTTCACTATCTCTGGATGTCTCAGTAGTGGCAAGGTTCTCTTCCTTGGAAGTAGTAGGAGTCCTCTCCAAAAAGGAAAAGCTCTCCACTACCAGGTCACCTCTGTCTCTGCTTCTGCCAGGGGCACCCCTACCACAAATTCTACAGTACCTCTCCCTCAAGCTGGAGGATGACCTACTCCCCTTCCGGTTGCCGAATAAGGCATCATAGGTACCGTAGCAAGCTGAAATAAAGGGTTGGCCAGAAACAAAATGTAGTCTATCAGAGTGTATTAGAATAGAAGTATGGAAACAGACAATATAGAATGATTCAGAATAGGATACTTGAACACCAGTTGTGGCAAGGGCTTGCTCCCTTTTTCGCACCATGTGGATCAGGGACTACATCACCTCCAAACATTGCTTAATATAGGCCGTAGGGGGCTATAAACAGAAATGCAAATATAAATAAAGCAAAGTAAAGTAGTGTAGGTCATGAATGAAGCAGAGTAAGTAGAATGAAACAGTATAGGGTTATTTAAGAGAGCTATGGAAGGGATAAGATATACCTGCCTCATGTTTGGAGCAAGAGTGACCACTCGATCCTCAAGAAACTCTAGAAGAACCTCTCTGAGAGCATCACTCGGCCTCATGTACGTTACTGAGAAAGGAAGTGATGGAAAACTGGTAGCAGGATTAATGAGAGGAACGACAGCACCTCCAAGCGGAGGAGCATTGGCAGGAATAAGGGCAGCGGCTCCAGCATCTCCAAATACTCGAGCTATATCTAAAGTAATGAGAGGCATGATATGGAACTGCAAGAAGGCAGCGTAATCCCCAGGCACGTGGAATATGTAACGTCTCGAAATAAATGATAATAAACTCTTTTCTCAATAATAAATAAATGACAAGCATTCTAATTATAATGTCCTTCCATTTCATATGATTCAGATATACAAAAGATAACACATGCAATTATACATTCATAAGTCCTAACCCTGAATCTATAGTATGTGCCATAATGAGAATATGAAATAAAAGTTAAACAGATAATAAATGACTTAAAGGCTTACAATTTCCCAAGACAATACTTGGTTAAAACAAAGATAGATTTAAAATCCAATATAGTTAAATGCCCTTAGCTTGTACAAAACAAATACATCAGATAATCAAAAAGAAGCCTTCAGCTTTAAGTTCCTCCCAAGCTATGATCTTGGTGAAGGTATATCATCAGCACCTGAAAATGGTTTCCCATATAAGATGAGGCAAAGCATAGTAGAAATAATCCAACACAGTATATGAATCTTAACAAAGGTATAAGG